TTCATACGGTTCAGGCTCTTCACAATCCATAACTAGCATAATGTTCTCATCTGGGAATTTGAAATTCATAGACTGATAGTTGTCTACAGCTTGATGTGCCAAATGATCTGTCAGTTTACTTCCTTTGATTACTTTTTGAGTGGTGTACTGAATGTCGTATTCTGTTAAGACCATTTTCCATCGGGCTATTCTTCTGGAGAGAGTCGGCTTCTCGAATATGTACTTGATGGGATCCATTTTAGAGATCAATAAAGTAGTATGGGTCAACATATATTGTCTTAGTCGGCGAGCAGCCCATGCAAAAACGCAACAAGTTTTCTCGAGCAGTAAATATCTTGTTTCAAAATCGGTAAACTTTTTTCTAAGGTAGTATATTCCATGCTCTTTTCGACCAGAATCGTCATGTTACCCAAGTACACACCCCCATTGAATTCTCTAGCACTGTTAGGTACATGATTAAAGGTCTTCCTTCAACTGGTGGCATCAGAATCAGAAGTTCTTGTAAGTACTCCTTGATTTTATCAAAGGCTATTTGACAGTCGTTGTTCCACTTTACTACTTGATCTTTCTTCAGCAGCTTGAAGATTGGATCATAGGTAGCAGTCAAATGAGAAATGAATTGGGAAATGTAATTCAGTCGTCCTAAGAAACCTCTGACCTCTTTCTCAGTACGGGGAGCCGACATTTATTGAATAGATTTATCTTTTGCGGGATCAACTTCAATACCATTACCAGTGACGATGAAACCCAGGAGTTTACCAAATCTCACCCCAAAAGTGTATTTGTTCAGATTTAGCCTTAGTTTGTACTTCTTCAGCCTTTCAAATAACTTATGCAGATGATCAAGATGTTCTTCTTTTGTCTGTGACCTTGCTATCATGTCTTCAACGTAGACTTCTATCTCGTGATGAATCATGTCATGGAATTAAGCTACCACGACACACTGATAAGTTTCCCCGACATTCTTTAACCCAAAAGGCATAACTTTGTAACAAAACGTGCCCCACTGGGTAACGAAGGTAGTTTTCTCCACGTCTTCAGGCGCCATCTCGATCTGATTATATCCTGAGAAAACATCCAAGAAAGAGAATACCTTATGCTAAGCAGTGTTGTCAACTAAGACATCAATATGTGGCAGCGAGAAGTCATCTATGGGGCTCGCTCTATTTAGATCCCTGTAGTCTACACACATACGCACCCTGCCGTCTTTCTTTGGTACTAGAACAATATTTGCAACCCATTGAGAATATGATGTTACTGATAAGAAACCTGCATTTAATTGTTTCATAACCTCAACCTTGATTTTCTCTGACATCTCAGGACGCATGCGACAAACCTTCTGTTTAATCGGAGAACAACCCTCTTTCATCGATAGACGGTGAACCACAATATCAGTATCGAGCCCTGGCATGTCCTCGTATGACCAAGAAAATATCTTAATATAGTCGTTGTTGTAACCCAAAATTTGCCCTCCCATTTTTATTCAAGATATCTTCTCATGCTTCTAAGATTTTCAATGGCTCAAGTTTGCTCAAGTGTTGACTGGTCAAACCTCCTCATAAGCAAATGGCCTACAAATTAGGGTTTCACTTTTCTCAAAGAAAATTAAACTTATAATGCCTCAAGTGGACTGCATGGTTTTTCATAGGTCTTCAGTAGTGCTCATGTCAAATTTCAAGCCTTGCATCATAAATTTGCTCAGTCAAGTGCTCAGATGACTGAAAATCAACTGTATTGGACAAAAAGTCAACTATGGTCAACATACAGTCAAACTTCAAGATTTCTTGCCAACATCAACATTTTGAGGTGATATTCATCATTTGATCAATGTTTGATCATAATTCTTCAAGGAAAGCACTCAAATCATCAAAGGTCAAAATTGCCAAAATTAGGGTTTTGACTGAAAATGACTGATCATTGACTTTTGACCTAGTACATGACCTAATTCCTTAAAGCATGATCTCGAGGATGCAAATACAACATCTTTACCTATTTACATGGCTCAAGACATTTCCAAAGTCAATTGTCATACAAAAGTCAAACTTTTACTTTTTGGTTAACATTGAACTTCAAAAATCAAGAATAATTAAACCATTCAAAATTATCAAGCTTGATCAACAATAATCAACAAAGTCAAGAAAAGTAAACAAAAAGTCAAAAATTTCCAACACTTAAAAAATATTCTGAGTGTTTTATCCTTAATAAAGTCACTACTTCATGATCATTTTTCACTAAGATGCAAGATGATTCAAGGAAAACTTTAAACATGAAAGTTGTAGAGCATGATGAATTCTACAACTTTTCCTTGAGGGTTGATATCCAAAAAATGCTTGGATTAAGAGATATAGGCCCATGAAGTTGTGACATTTTTATCCAACACTTAGAAATTTTTTCAACTAGTTTTGGTCAGTTTTTCATCCCAACTTCTTGACCAATTTTCACCAATTTCCTTGTTGATTTAGCCAAAGTGGTCAACATGAAAGTTGAAGATCATGTTTCAAGCTTTCCAAAATATCCAAGAGAATGAATTTATAATAACTTAGCTAGGAGATTCAAAGAGATGAAGTTGGGCATCCATTCTTGAATTATAGGTCATATTGGTGAAGAACACATAACCAAATCTTCATGCCATGTTGCATAATCTTGCTTTACAGGTGAAACAATCGACTGAAAATCATCAAACAATGAAGTCGCCATCAAACGTCTTTTATCCCACATGAAGGGAAAGGTAAACATCGAGAAAACCTGAGAAGGGAGAAGTCACGGTCTTGCGACTAAGAGATCGGGTAAGGGAGTCTATTACGCGAGGGGAAGGTATTAGCACCCCACACGCCCGTAGTACTCTATGGTATCCACTCTTGTTATCTATCTTATGGGTGTGTTTAATCTATGCTTACTATTTATTACTGCTAAAGGGAGAATTCATGCAAAAGAAAGGAGAAAAGAATGTAGGGAAAATAAAGTTGTACTCGCTTGGACCCTACCCCAATGCCTACGTATCCTTTTTGAGGAATCAGAGCTACCGTAGTTAGGCTCACATGTTTTTGTTTGTTTTGTGTTTTTTATGGACGATGTTAATTCCTCCTTCTGCCGCAGCTCGACCTTTGGAGACTTATGCATTGGCACAAAAGTAAATTAATCATGTCCTTACCTGAAAAGGGTTTTTAGAGAAAAGGTGCTTAGACGCACAAAAAGGTTTGATTTGGTTTGTGTTTTTTATTACCTTGAAAAAGGGTTTAAGTGTGATTAGCATGTTTTATGATTTGCTAAAGAAAAGGTTTTAGTTTTTAATGCAAGGATGCAAAAAGGGGAAGAAAATATTCTAAAGGAGACTAGCCTATTTCTAACCTAATGTTATCATAAAATGGTTGTCCTATGGTTTGGATTAACAAAAGGGAAATGTCTACCTAATGTTAGCATGCACGGCTTATAACCTAAGGTCTAACTTGCGTCCGAAGGGAGCAAGCACGTCCTAGGGGAACATGGTATCTACAAGGATAAAGCAAACAAGCTGATAAGCTCAAGAGAGCACACCTCGAGAGATCCTATCTAAGTTAGCATGCCAAAGAAATTCTAACAAAACTATCCTATAGGGAACATGAAATGAGAGCAAAGTCGTGATCTCAATTTCTAAATTGAGTGACTCATCGATCAACAAGAAATAAAGGAAAGCGATAAAATCCTATAGGGAGCATGAACTGAGAGAGAATTCGTGATCTCAATTCCTAAATTGAGTGACTCATCAATCTAGAACCAAAGAAATAAACACAAGCACAACACATATAGCAAATGAAGCGCGGAATGCCTGCTACAGGTCTTTAAACAGCGAATTTGAGTGCACGCTCTTTATTTCCTACTTCTCATGGTATCTAGAAAGCAATATAGTGCGAAATGAGATAAGCAAGAGAAAATAACAAATGGATATCAATCGTAACGAAGCGTATCAAAACAAAGAAATCCGACGATCTTCGCGAAAAGCTTCACCAATTAAAGAAAAGAGTCAGAAATTGAATGCTCGGAATAAGTACCGAAGCATCATCGATGTGAAAATAAATCACAATCGAAATCTCAAGCGCATCCGCATATCGCACAATAGACCTGTGTAAGACTCAAATCTCAACAAGCAAAGGTGAATTACCAATCTCAAATATAATTGTATAATCGTGATTTAATTCCTAAAATCACATAAAAAACTAAGAAATTTTTATACTTGACTTTATTATTTTCATCATGTAAAAGAAACAAGCTCAAGAAAATCTAAACAATTCACAAAATTATTTAAAAGAAAATACTAAAATAATAAACTCAGGGGTGCAATCTGGAAAACAAGAGTGTAAAACAGTAAACAACTTTAGGCCCATCCTGCAAGTCCAAACATCAGTTTTTGTTCTCACTCTTTGTAATATGTAAACACAAAAAAGAAAAAGAAAAATCATGGGCCAATGCAAAGGGGGGCTAAGATTCGGCCCAGTCTAGCAACAATAATCCACCAGTTTTTGTTTCACTTCAGTTTATCAAAAAAACAAATCCTGGACCTAATGGACTTTCGGTCCGGTTCAACAAGAACCCATTCTATTTTTTTAATTCCAATTTTCAACATCATTTGTTATAGATCTTTTCCATTATCTCCTAACACACTGCATTAAAAAAATTAAAAGAAAAGAAAAAAATAAGAAGAGGGATTAGGGTTACATGATTTGTGGCTTTTCCACTTCTCACAACAAAAATTCCCTCCTCTCTCTCAAACTCAGACGACGCGGCGTAATCACCGACGATCTCTGATTTTGCTCTAACCCAACCTTTTGCCGCTGTGGGGTTCAACTGGTTCCTACTTCGTCCTACTCTTGCATCACTCCTCTCAATTCACTCATCTCTTATCCGAGCAACTCTATTACACTGAGGACTGCATTTGGCTCCTTCATCTTCTCCGACGAAAATCAATATTGCGTTGTCATAGAGCATGTTCTCGACACTCTCAACCTTGTTCGTCTCACTCATCCATGATAACAGTGTCAGCAACGTCGTCGCGCTTGAAGCTCTGTCTCATCGAGGTAGTCGTTCTTCTGCAATTCTGTATTATATTGCGTTCTCGAGAATTCGTTGTTGATGCATTGTTCTTCTTGCAGATGAAGAATAATGGCAGTGAGGATGTTACTATTGAAGAAACTGAGGTTGATGATTGTAGTTTCGGAGATGTTGTATCATAATAGGAAGTGATGATGGTGATGATGAATGAAGATTGATAAAGAATCAGACGCAAATCTGAAAAGTTTGGAGAAACAGTTTCAGAGAGAGTGAAATTTTTCTGGTGAGTTTCTCAACTGATTTTCTGTTAGCCAACTGTTATCCCCCTCCCTCCTCTGTCATGAATTCTATTAGCTCTTTCTCTTTTTTTTGAATCAGTTAGAAAATTCTGTTGGAGAGTTAAGAGAGAGGGAGTTGCAAATCGGCTTATGTTATGAATTGGTTATAAAAACTGTTATGAATTCTGTTGTTGATTTTTTTGTAACTGTGAATTATCTTTTTTATATTATGACTCAACTCTCTCCTCTCTTTTCTGTTGGATGTTTTTGTTGGCTGGAAGTTTTCTGGTGCGGCAGTTATAGGTTAGTGTTAACTATTTTTCTGTTAAGTAGTTGGGGGAGGTTCTGTTAGGAGTTAGTTATGCAGGGTTGTTAGAAGGTTATTTAGGAAGGTTAGTTGAAAGCCATGTTAATACGGTTAGGGAGTTAGTTCTGTTATGGACAATAGGTTATGGTTAGAAGTTAGCTATGAAATGGGAATCGATTAAGGGCTGTTTTGGTTTATTGGTTATGGATTGATTTTATGGTTTTTTTATGTGATTAATATGCAGGGCTTGTTTATGGAAAAGAGAGGTGCGGACGGTGCGGAAACGTTTTGGTTCATGAAGAATTTAAGGCATGGTTCATGGTTATGAAGGAAAGCATGGTTCATGGTTATAAAGGCAAAGCATGGTTCATGGTTACAAATGAGTGAAGATTCAAAACATGTCATGAAGATGAAGATGAACGGTGCATAGGTTTAGGATAGTGTTCTTTTGTGAAATTTGTAATCCTTCCGGTTGATGTAATGTAATAGTGTCAAATGATGTAATAGTAACCGAACTTGTATTTATGTGATTTTGTAATATTTAGAACTTGGATGAATTTTAATGAGATATTGGTATTTTCTTTTTGATATATTATGCTTTTCCGAAACTTGAACCCAAAAACTCCCATTAGAAGCTTGCATCAATTTTACACGCCACACTTGCAATTTTAAGAGACTTCAATCCCCATGTTCCAATCTCAAATTTTCACTAACTTTCCTTTGAAGCAAAATCTTAGTTGAAGAATCATGCACAAAACTTTAAGTTCTAGTTACTTGGACTTTGGATCAAACTCAACCTTTGAATTATCCCTTGAACGTATAATTGCGCTTTGATTATCCCAAAATGATTGAATGATCATTGTTATAAGAACTTCAACCGTTAACTCAGAATCTTAATCCTTCATAATAAGCATTGAGTCTATGGCTTAATGTAATTCGGAATGAACTCAAAATAATCTCGTAACACAAGTAAACCAAGCATTAAGATGAAATATCTTGCATTAAGATATCCACGAACCCTAATTTTCAATGGATGGAATCCTATGAAGATATCGTTGCCTTGTGTTGCATATTGAAACTTCTTGAACCAAAACCCTAACATACCATAAGTACACTAAGATATCTCCATGTCTTGTGATTTTTGAATCATGAGTTGAATCATTGAGAATGTAAGACTTAACTGATGAACAACTCTTAGTGCAATCCCTCCTTAAAGTCCACATGCTTAGGAAAACAAAGCCTTATCGAGTGATGATGATGACAAACATAAGAAGATGCTAAATACCTGAACTGGTAACCTTTAGGCGACCTTATAGGACAACTTATGTAGTAAGCAATCACAACCACCTTATATGTTGAAGAACACAACAAGAATATTGAGGAAGTGGAGCTCCAGATGATTTGAGCAAGCCTTGTAATTTGATGTTAGGAAGAGGAGAATAACCCCATAGCTTGGTGATAAAGAAATCCATGAATTGAAACCATAGCTTCAAACAAAACTGAATGATGAAAGAACCAGTTGATTTAAACCTAAGTGAAGATAAGAGCTTAAAAGCATATAGAGACCCTAATTCCTCAATATCTTGGATCACATGCCATGCTTTATTGGTTAATGAATGAATGATGTGTTAGATTACTTAAAGGGGGTTATGTACATGAGAAAAGTGAAAAATGCATAAGCCAGATAAAAGTGAAAGGGTAGGACAAATTTGGGGTATTACAGCTGCCCCTATTTAATCGTCTTAAACCTGAAAGTACGATTGGCGCGTACCTTTCAGAAGTTCGAGGTAGAAGATGATTAAATTTCAATGCCAAAAATTTGTTCTGAAAGATGGTGGTAAGTGTTTATTTTATTTTGCAACATCCACTGGGGAATTAAAAGAGGTGGGACTAAACTGGATGTATACGTTGATCAGGACACGACGACATTAGAGTACATTGATCAGGACGCGATGACTAAGAGGAAAACACAGATCAGGACACGATGATTGAAAGGAAGACATCGATTAGGACACGATGGCTAACAGAAATACATCGATCAGGATACGATGATTCGCAGGACAGGTATCAATCAAGACACGATAACTAAAAGGAAGACATCGATCAGGACACAATGGCTAATAGGAATACATTGATCAAAACACGATGATTCGCAGGAGAGGTATCGATCAGGAGACGATAACAAAAAGGAAGACATCAATCAGGACACGATGGTTAATAGGAATGCATCGATCATGACACGATGATTGAGAGGAAACCACTGATTAGGACATGATGATTGAAAGGGAGACATCGATCAGGACACAATGGCTAACAGGAATACATTAATCAGGACACGATGATTCACAAGGGAGGTATCGATCAGGACACGATAACCAAAAGGAAGACAATGATCAGGACATGATGGCTAACATGAATACATCGATCAGAACATGATGATTCGCAAGAGAGGTATCGATCAAGACACAATAACCAAAAGGAAGACATCGATCAGGACACAATGGCTAATAGGAATACGTCGATCAAGACACGACGATTCGTAGGAGAGGTATCGATCAGAACACGATAACCAAAAGGGAGACATCGATCAGGACACGATGGCTATAAAGAATACATCGATCAGGACATGATGATTCGCAAAGGAGGTATCAATCAGGACATGATAACCAAAAGGGAGACATCGATCAGGACACAATGGCTAATAGGAATACATTGATCAGGACATGATGATTCGCGGGAGAGGTATCGATCAGGACACAATAACCAAAAGGAAGACATCGACCAGGACACGATGGCTAATTGGAATATATCGATCAGGACACTACGATTCGCAGGAGAGGTATCGATCAGGACACGATAACCAAAAGGGAGACATCGATCAGGACACGATGGCTAATAGGAGGACGACGATCAGAACACAACGATTGCAAGGAGAAAATCAATCAGGACATGATGACTCACAGGATAGCATCAATTAGGGCATGATCACCAAAGGAAGACATTGATCAGGACACGATGAGTGTTTAAAAATTGACACGACGAGTGTTTAGAAGATGACATAACGAGTGTTTAGAAATTGACACAACGGGTGTTTAGAAGATGACACGACGAGTGTTTAGAAGTCGACACGATGAGTGTTTACAAGTTGACACGATGAGTGTTTAGAAGTTGACATGATGATTGTTGGAAGTTGACACGATGAGTGTTTAGAAGTTGACACAACGAGTGTTTAGAAGTTGACACGATGAGTGTTGGAAGTTGACACGATGAGTGTTGGAATCAATATAGACGGGTATTAAAAGAAGATACAGACGAGTATCAAGGAAAGGTTAAACACAGACGAGTGTTTGAGTCAATACAGACGGGTATTGAAAGAAGATACAGATGAGTATCAAGGAAAGGTTAAATACAGACGAGTGTTTGAGTCAATATAGACGGGTATTGAAAGAAGATACAAATGAGTATCAAGGAAAGGTTAAACACAGACCAGTGTTTGGGAGACTGACATAGATGAGTGTTTATAAGTTCACACAGACGGGTGTTGGAATCAATACAGATGGGTATTGAAAGAAGATACGGATGAGTATCAAGGAAGAGATAACACAGACGAGTGTCTGGGAGACTGACACAGATGAGTGTTTATAAAAACTGACACATATGAGTGTTGTAAGACTGAATTATTTGTCAGACGGGAACTGGCTACCAGATGAGAAATAGGTTTAGAATGAAAAAGTGTATTGATTTTATTAGGAATTGTGAAGGTAAAGGTCACCGACTGGGGATTTTGGAAGTGATACCCTCTTGTGGGGATGTATTGATGTCTTTGAATTATTCAGGTCTTTTGTGTAAGGTACCTGATCTGGCTTATGCTTCGTATACATGTTTGAATTTCTTTTGATGCAAAGATCCATTCTGATGGATCGACTACACACTTTTGAGGATGCAATGTTATGCAGTGATAGCTATATGCAATGCAAAGAGGTAGACTTCATGGGGATAAGCGAAGGCTCTTTGGGAGTTGTTAATCATCATTGGGGATGCCAATACACATCAACGCTGGAAACCTATGGTACCAAAGATTGCTGGGGATATTGGTAAGAATTTGCACTGGGGAGCTCTGAAGATCATTGGTGACTCCGTTGGAGATTGAGTTGCTGACGAAGCAAATTTTCAGGTACGCTAATGAATTTTGAATTGTGTTGTTGGGGAAGAGATAATGAACACCATGTGGATCTCTTTGAATACATGCCCCAATCTTACGCCACACTGGGGAATTACCTCTTGAATTACTTGGGGATAAAAGATGGGAATGGACACTTGCGAATGCCTCGGTTTAGCTCTGCAAATGCCCCAATTTATCTTTGTGAATGCCACAGTTTAGCTCCACTGGGGATGCACTCAATTAACTCCACTGGGGATGCACTTGATTAACTCCATTGGGGATGCACTTGTGCGTGCCAAGTCAAACGGTGACTCCAAAATTTCTGAATTCAGTTGGGGAATCAGGTTTGAAATTGTTTGCAGCATATGAAGGCTACTTTATGCGTTGGCTAGGTCCGGTTGACTGTCATGACTCTTTTTTATCGATTGCAGACGTCTCGTGCAATATAATTGGCTTGAACAACTTTGCGAGCAAGAATATAGAATATCCCTATCCGGAGGATCTCTGAAAGAATCACTGCTGAATAGAAGATCAGAATATTCATGCCACAATACAATATGAGGTGGCCTGCCCCAATCTCTTGAATCACGAAATAAACTACTCTTGATTACATATTTCTTGGAGAGATTTGTCGAATATCGACTTAACTGCCCCGGGTTGAAGGAATTCTGTATTGATTTGTCGATGTGATAGCCCTTGATCAACGACAACTTGAAGAGATTTATCAACGTGATAGTCTCTGATTGATATTAGCTTAAAGAGATTTATCGACGTGATAGCCTCTGATTGAGTATAGTTAGAAGATATTTATCGACTTAATAGCCTCTGATTGAGTATAGTTAGAAGATATTTATCGACTTAATAGCCTCTGATTGATAGCTTTGAAGAGATTTGTCGACCTGATGGCCTCTGCTTAATAGCTTTGAAGGAATTCCCTAGATCTGACTAAACTTTGATAGATCGATTCTCGACTTGATTGCCCTAGATTGGCAGAATCTGCTAACTTCATCCCTAGAGGGTACTTAGACTATGGAGCACCAAGATGCCTTCTCTTGACAAAATCACTGGTTAACTTTCCCCTGGATAAGTCATTTCTCTCGTGGCAACTGACTCTTTCTTCAACACGGTATTCAAGCCTCTCTTCTCTGACAAGATTGAGCTCTTTATTGATTGTTCATTGTGTAAACTTACTTGATGTCAATCATTTGTTTTGTATGAAGAAGAA